TTATTTGTATAAAGGAAATGGTGCTAAGATAGTTATAGGAATCAAAAATTACAAACACATAATATAAGTGATTTGCTCATAAATGATCTTAGTAAAGTACTTAAACATTATAACAACCTGAATAGTGACTGTGTTCAACATTACTAACTAAGGGTTATATAAGAGAAAAAAGGTATATATAATGGGTTGAATGATGGCCCCCCAGAAGATGTCCATGTCCTAAGTCCCAGAACCTGTGGATGTGACCTTTACTGGAAAAAGGGACTTTACATCTGTAATGAAGTTAGGGATCTTGAGATAAGGAGATCATCTTGGATTACGAGGGTGGGCCCCAAATCTGATGACAGGTGTCTTGATGAAAGACTATATAGAGCAGGAGGCAATGTGACCATAGAGGCAGAAATTGGAAGTCATGTGGCCATAAATCAAGGAATGCCGACAACCCCCAGCAGCTGGAAGATGCAAGGGATGGATTCTCCTCTAGAGCCTTCAGAAAGAGTGCAACCCTGTCAACACCTTGATTTCAAACCTCTGGCCTCCGGAACTTGGAGAGAATAAATTTCTTTTGTGTGAAGCCACCAAATTGTGGTAATTTGTTATGGCAGCCGTCGGAAACAAATACAGTAGAGATGACTGGTAGGGAACTATTACACCATAATAGAAAACAGGCCTTCTCATAGCTTATCGCCCTTTGGTCTCTCAATTAACAGGAACATACTGCACCCAGTTTATTCCGACTTGAGCCAGGTGATACGGATTCGAAGTCACTGCTCTACAATCGGACAGTGACTGTCCACAGTTCCTGCTAACAGCCACTAAAACAAGCCAACCAACCAACCGTGGTATTTCTCGTTATATATGAACTTCTTTAGAAAGGAAACTGATATATATATATATATATGTATATATATATATACTCATTTCATGAGTATATATATATATACACTCAAAATACTCATTTTATGAGTATATATATATACTCAAAATACTCATTTTACACTAAAATAAAAGAGTCTCTTGGCAAAATAATCCAGCAGTGGTGTCATTTTCAAAGCTATTGATCATTTACCTGCAATGACCATATTTAGAAAAGCAATGAGCTCATTAGAGGAAACAAGGAATCCAATTTCATTAGGTATTAATGCTCTGGGGCACACTATGAGAGTGCTTGGTATTCACACTTGGTTAAGGTACGTGAGAATAGTGGCTGTAATTAACTAAACTTCTGTGTTAATATAGCACTTACTGGAGACACCCTTAAAGGTGCCTTTGTGCACAAAAGACAAGGTTAAAAGATTTTATGTTATTTATCATATTTAGGAAAGCCCTTCCTTGTCTGTAATATATAATCTTCACTTACTTATCCCTGGGTTATACAACGGCTTATTAGCTTATTAAGAACTTCCTAAAAGGCAAGTAAATCTAAATTCTTAAAAGTTTTAAGACAAGGTTCTGTTTAAAAAGCGGACTGAGGCTTAAAATATTATGGTTAACCTTTCTTAAAGGGCAAAAATGCAGAATGTTAACTAATAATTCTTATCTTACAGGATCATTCAAAATAGAAGATTCTAATTTTAAGCTTACTCTTTTAACATGCAATTTATGCATTAATAAATATAGATAATGATACAATAGGAATTTCTACATTATTTCAATGAATATCTATTAATCCTGAAGCAAGAAACAGATTATCTCAACGGGGAGAGCTCAGTTTATCCAAGATGTAACAATAAAAGTACAAGTCACAAACATGGGGCCAGCATAAGTCTCTTGATATTAATTACTTACAATAGTAAAACATAGAGATCTTACAGAACAGTCCAGATTTCTGGCTTCTGTTGGAAACTTGGTCCTTCTGGCCACCTGGACTCCTCAGTTCCACATAACAACAATTAACGGCAGCTAAGTGGCTACTCCCGTTAGGTGGGGCTTGTGCTCACAGGTTCCTCACCCCCCTACCCAGTCTTCCTCTCTCATGGATGTTGACTACCCAGTTCCTAACAGCATGTAACTTTCCTGCTCCTGGTGTATAATAATGAGAACACCTTCCTTTGCCTTCAAATTGTCAAATTTCTACCTATCATTCAAGTCCCACTTCAAAGATACTCCTTCCTCCATGAAGTTCTCCCAGTTTCTCCAACTGGAGTTAATTTCTTCTTAGATCATACCATAATTTGTTCATATTCTATAGTATTTACAATATAGTATTATTATTTTATGTACATTTATGTACATCTGTCTCCCATGTCTATCTGTTGTCATCTTTCAAACTTTATTCATTGAGTGTCTGTCATGTGTCAGGCAAAAGACTAAACAAAATGCTGGGGATACAGCAGGGACCAAAGCACGTGTGGCACCTTGTTTCAAGGAGCTTACAGACCCTCCTGCTTGGAACATAATAGATGCTCAATAGATGTTTATTGAGAAAAAAAAAAAAGTAGGTCAATTTTTCAAATCCACACACACCAACTCTCATTTGAACTCTAGCTGATACAGTATATTCATAGTCAATGCTTAATATGTGGTTTTGACTTGACTGAATAGACAAAACAGCTGAATCAGGGAGTCAGAGAACTATTACTTAGACTACAGGGTTTATACTGACTTGCTGTCCACCTGGACCCTATCTACTCACCTGGCTCTGGGAAGTGTTTACCGTAGGACTCAGGATGAGCAGGACACCACTCAGAAAAAGCTTTAGGAACCTGTATTAACCATGAATCTTCCCGTTGAATTTATAGTATCTTAAATTAGCTTCTTAATCCTGAGATTTCTTATTCTGATCTCTTTAGTAGCCTTCCATTAAGGCTTCTCTATCCTAGTCTTTGCCAATTTTTCTTTCCTTATCACTCCGGAAATATTTACAAGCAGCAACACACAATTTTGCCTACCTTGTCTTGTTTCCTGTAGTTCTGGATGTGTTTGTCTTGCCTCCAAATATTTTATCTATCTTTTGAGAATTAGAGAAATTTAAAAATACTTTAATTCATTGGCATTTATTTTTCACCAGTTATGTGGGAGAAAAAAAAATATATATATATACAAACACACACACACACACA